ACCTTGCTGCCCCATGATCTATGCTAAAATAAAGGAATCTACAGTAGTCCATTCACATCCCTGTTGGGAGTCCTACTATGTGACCTTGGTTGACTCTGGGGACGGCCACACCCTCATATTCTTGCCCCTAACACTCATCAGTGTATGACTCAGGAGAAAACTTCTTCCACAAGGCATACAGTCTCACATCTTCTGTTGTTTCTGAGCAAGGTTCTAGTATTTACTTTTACTCACATGAAGTCTGCAGAAAGTTCTTTTTTCATAGGGACAGTTGAAAACAGATTACATTTTGGAAATGTTTTCTGGCATGTCATGTTCAATTTCCGTTTTACAGCATTCATGATTTTAAATTGGGACTAAAAACAAACAGAAAGACACAAAGGCAACACCGTTTTTATCATTGGTTCTTGGACATTTTGAAAAAAGGTTTGTATGAAAATATGAATCTGGATATATTCACACATGGATCTTCCAGTTCGTTTTAACTTTTTAAAAGAACACAAGAACCAAGAAATTAGATTGGTGGGACCTTGTTTGTAACTTGATTGACATCTCAAAGTCATGGATGTTAAAGGTGTTATATCTATACAGAAGCATTGAACATAGATTAGTCACACTAATCTGCAGGAAGACCAGTGATACATAAATTGTTTATTTTACTACAACTTCAAACTACAAATTATGAACAATCATATGATAGCAGCCATTATTAACAAAAGTGAGGTATGATTTTTGTGAAGTATTAAAACATGATACATGTTGATAGTGCATTAAACGTTTGATAAAAGTACAAAGGTTGGTAGTCATTTAAAACGAATCAATGATGAACACATGGCTCCAGTAGATAAACTGTCATCCTAAGATGTCAGCTGGGTAATCTCTCCAGTCTGTCACAGTCCTGTCTGGTGAATCACAGATGACATAATGGAGGCAAATCTGGCCTGTATTAACCCTGCTCTGTCCATATTGTCATCATTAGAATTTATATATAGTCAAACTTGGTGACCTCCTCTGCATAAGGACCACTTTTTGCTGGTCGTACACTTATTATTTCCGCGGTGACCCAAGCGACAAGGATCTTGTGTAACCATTTTCCCCTCCAGTCATTTGAGTAGTCACTATAGACAGGTTTGATGGCTTTTTCCCATTGACCACAGCATTAGGAATTCTGGCTATATTGGCCACCTGTCTTGTCAAAAAAGGACAGGTTTGTCGGACACAAAAGCATAGAGAGATGAAGAGCAGTAATACAGTACAGATGTGGTTTTTGTCATTGCCAAGGGTTACCAAGCTTTACAAGTTGAGCAAACCGAGCCAAATTTATCCACAGCACAGTATTGCAGAGAGGATTTATTGCATTTCCCATGGAGCCATCAGATCTGGAAATCAAACACAGCTCACTACCTGCTGCATATACGAGGGTCTGCATGGGGGTGTTGTGATTATGAATGACGCAAAATTATCGCTGCCGATTACGAATTACGCTTAAGTCTGGTTACGACTTTACGCTTTGTGACTAATGTACTATTATGAATTATGTTGATTTTTGGGGAGGCTGCCTGCAGATTACGAAGACCAAAAAGGCCTGATTACGCCTTACAAAAAAGGGCATGCAGACCCCATATGCAGGTGATATTTCCAGCCCAGGTAGAGCAGAGGTGCTGCTGTGAAACTGTATCTGTCCTCTTCTCTGCCCTGTTGTGCCCCCTCCACAAATCAGTTTAGGAAACACCAGGTCCCACTCTTGTATTCAAATGCACAGGTGCCAACAAAAGGCGGCCTGTTTGGTAAACTTGTGACGCTCAGCGACCTGCATGGGACAAAGCTGAAATTGTGTCTAATTCACGGTCTTTGTTAGAACTGGCTTACGCACACGAGATGTTTGGTTGTATGGGAAAAACTCGGCAGACGCTTTATGCAGTACTGTTGTGTATATCTCTAGACATGAAAAATTTGACTCTGTTTGGTAAACTTGTGACGCTTGGCAGCCAGACAGGGGGCAAAGCTAAAGTTGTGTTTTACTCACAGCCTTTGTTAAGGAAAGTGATGGATTTGTAATACGAAAGTCAGCTGTCTTCTGAAGGAAGATTGTCATTGATTCCTGTCAATGGACAGCCCCTGTGGGGTCTATAGGGTTATACACAGCGCAGTCCTTATGGGATATACAGGGTTGTACACAGTCCCTGTGAAGTTCATAGGGTTGTACACAGTCCCTGTAAAGTCTATTGGGTTGTACACAGTCCTTGTGAGATATACAGGGTTGTACACAGTTTTACTGGGATACACAGGGTTGTACACAGTCTTTCTGGAATATACAGGGTTGTACGCTGTCACAGTCCCTGTGAAGACTATAGTGTGCTACACAGTCTTTTTGGGATATACAGGGTTGTACACAGTCCCTGTGAGGTCTATAGGGTTGTACACAGTCCCTGTAAAGTCTATTGGGTTGTACACAGTCCATGTGAGGTCTATAGGGTTGTACACAGTTTTACTGGGATACACAGGGTTGTACACAGTCTTTCTGGAATATACAGGGTTGTACGCTGTCACAGTCCCTGTGAAGACTATAGTGTGCTACACAGTCTTTTTGGGATATACAGGGTTGTACACAGTCCCTGTGAGGTCTATAGGGTTGTACACAGTCCCTGTGAGGTCTATAGGGTTGTACACAGTCCCTGTGAGGTCTGTAGGGTTGTACATAGTCCTTGCGGGATATACACAGTCCCTCTAAGGTCTACAGGGTTGTACGCAGTCCCTGTTGCACCAGGATTAACCCCAAGTGGGACATGATGTTGTCTGTGTCTCCAGCTTCTCAACCCAGTATCAACACTGGCAGCAGCAGATAACACAGAAATAACAGGACAAAACTGAGACTCCACAGGTGTTTCTTTGGCACACCGCTAATTCCTGAAGTGGGCTAGTCCTTTGGCATTGGGCCTTGCAGGTTGAATGGAAGAAAAATTCATCTGTAGGGAGGTCCAGCATCAATATCAACAATGATGGCACCAGATAGCATAGAAATAACAAAACACTGAAACAGCACAGGTCTATTTTGCAAAATAAGATAGTCCTGTCGTATTACAATGTCAGACTTACTACTATGCTAGTCATATAGATGAAGCCATTTAGTTGTAGGAAGGTCAGTGTTGGCACATGCAGCAATAGCAGCCAAGTAAAAATAGCAGAGCAAAAACAGCAATGATACAGTACAACTTACTACAAGGTGTTCTTGTAAGAACCCAGTGTATAAGGAACCGTTGGAACAAGTGTATGAACGAATGATTTTCCCAGCTAATGTGGAAACGGAAGCCCCTAGAAATGCTTTAGTCCCGGAGGGAGAGGAAAGGGAATCTGGAGTTGTACAAACAATGTTTTGCGGAAGTTCTCATGTGCTTGTAGTGGACAGGGAGGAGATTAGGCTGGAGCCAGTAAATGGTATCTGTGAGTTCTGACAGTGATAACATGTGCTGTAAATGGGGCAGAACTAGGTGTGTTTCCTGGTTCATAAACTTAAAGGTGGCAGCAAATTTTTCCCAGCAATATTTCAGAACCTATGCTTAAAGTGGAAGTCACTAGTTTCATACATTCAAAGTAAAAATCTGGTTAAAATGAGAGAGCTAGGAGGAGAAATTGCATTAAACTAGATTCACTTTCTAAAACTGTATGTGTACCACCAAGGTACAGAATTTTCCCTAAGGTTAGATTCTGTTTTCTTCTTGATCTTATAATGCTGCATTTTTTTTCAAATTGGAAAACCAACTAATTAAATTAGTGTGGTCTAACATCTACACGCACATGTAGCCAACTTTTTTTTCTGTTGGGAATTTGAGTGTTCCATCTGTCAGTGTTACTGATAAGTGGGAATGTCTGATATCTTTGGGAATGTGGGGCAGATTCCTGCCCTGCCCAGCTGTTTTGTAAACACTACATAGGGAATGATGGTCCATATCAGGGGATACATGTCTGACAATTGTCAGGAAGGGGAGGGGGGTGGGTGTGGTATGTGATAGGAGCTATCTGTTTAGATGTGACAACTTTTACAATGCAAAAATTATTAAATTCAGAAATGATTGCCCTTTTTTTAATCAAAAAAAGAAAAAAGTGCTGAAACCCACAAGTGGCTTATCTGATCAGATTCTATCTGCTACCTTCCTCAGTTCCCAAAAAACTGATCCTCTGAAAAATTGGCCCCATACCAAGGAATTTAGAATGTCTTATGATGAAATAAAGAGTATTTCTAACCTGGCTAACAGGTGTCTTGTTATCCTGCTTAAGACAAATCCACAGCCAGCGGCTAAAGAAAACTTCCTGCTTAAAGAGCCCAAACTTGGACTGGTTTTATCTGAGACCCCCTCACCTTGTAAACCAGAGTGCTGAGGTGGCAGGGTGTTTTAGTAGGAAATCTGACGTTAATCGCTTTATCCTGCGGAATGGGCTGGCACTGGGTCTGGTGTTGACTTTGGACACACCAGCTCGGGTTAGGGACGAAGGGGAAACATTTTCCTGGCTCTTTTTCCAGCTTCTTTAACTACTAATGCCCTACAGTACTGTTATGATATTACCTGTTAAATTCGCAACCTGTTATCCACCTTAATCAAATCCACGCGAAGGCCATCGTGTCAACCCTCCTCACTCAGGTGTAGGGACTGCCACGGTCATCCTACTCGGAAAATCAGTATCTGTATATCTGTACATGAATCTGTATCTGTGCATGGATATGTATCTGTACAAGAATCTGTACCCGATTGCAAATAAAGATATTTATTGATTGCCATATAGATATGATGTAAATGGTGTAGAATATATATTATGTATAATACACTACATTCATCCCCAGAAATGCCAAGCAAGGAAATGAAAAAAAAATGCAGCAGTTTGGACAACCAACCTCCTCAATTTAAGTTTACCTGTATTTTGCTAGCTTCGAACATTTCTGAACAGTCTGAATAGGTACTATTCGCAGTGATGTAAAATGGCTGAATGTGAATTGTCTTTTCCAGGCCAAAGTGACAGCGTGTGGATGGATGTACCGTGCTCCAGACCTCATCGACTTCACCAACCCAGCACAGAGATCACGGGTAAGGAACAAAGTTTGATTCTTCATCTCAGTAACCCGCGCATGGCATTTACTTCAAATGTCAAACATTGTAAAAGAACCCAACACACTTATTGAAAAGAGTAGGGGTGACCCAGTTTGCTTGGCTGTATTGTGAGCCATAGCTGTGGAAAAGAAGTTGAGCAGAAAGAAGTTCAGGTTGAATTTGTTTTTCATTTGTTTCTTCATTAACTAGCGAAGGATTTGTCTTAAGTCATGGATAGAGGAAAAAGGAGGACACTTTTCCTTGTCTGAATGTCTGAATGAGTGGATGTGTGTGGTACCCTAAGTACCAATCCTTCTGCCCTGTCTGTGTTTGTTGTTTACAGTGACTATGTTTACTGTGGTAAACAAAGTCTCCTGGCCAATCAGAATCTGGAGTAACACAAGCATTTTCCAAGAATGTTGTTTATATGCACAGGAACAAAAACCGCCATTATCGCTTCCTTATCGATAAGTGTGGCGGGTTCTTTAACAGGTGGGTCTCCTCAAACATGGGTGGTTGGGAGTGGTAAACTGAAACTGCTGGCTCCATTCCTTGTGTACAGTACAGGCAAACCTCTGTGTGTGATAGCTCCTTTACTGACCAACTTCAAGATGACCTGACTCCACTGCAGCCATGTTTGCAGTCATTACTGGGATTTGTTTGGGTTTGTAGGAATGACGGTGATTTGGCCACATAAATTCATTACCTTCGCAAGGAAGGTTATGTTTTTGCCGTGTGTGTGTGTGTGTGTGTGTCTGTCTGTCTACACGATAACTTAAGAAGGCTTAGATGGATTGTCTTAATATTCGGTATGAAGGTTGCTAAAAAATAAATAAAAATCTAGCAACACGACAAGATTACATTCTCACTCTTGCTTTCACATTACTTTCGCTTCATTATTCATATCAGGAGTATCTGGTTGTAATTTCTGCCTAGTTTGTTTCTGCCATGAGGCGGCCAAACATTTTCTCCACATGGCCTTGACTTTTCTCTAGTTCTACAGAAGGTCTGGTTCAACTGAGTTGTTTGGCCAGCCCGTATCTCTAACCCACATGCCAGGGATACCCGAGTGTGTCTGTCACCGGTACAGTTCCCTCCTGCTTACCTTCCCAAGATGGGAGCCCATTCACACCCACATGGCAGCACACAGAAACTGTCCTAGTTTGGCCATAGCGATACAAGCCCTGGCCGCGTGTTTGCGGATGGAGAGTTCGGGGTGTTTGGTTAGACAGGAGCTCGGATCCCGGGACTGCGCGCTCGCGCCACACTGCCGAGAGTAAACATCACATGTCTTGTGACTCTTCCGAGATGTTTTGTGACTGGAAGAAGTCTTGTGACTCCTAGTTGTCTTTAGTTTGTATCAATCTTGGAATGAAAGATAATTGTCATTAATTGGCACTTGTTTATGTGTTACACTACTCCAGATAGAACCACAGTCAATTCTTCTGATACAGGTGTATAAACTTTAAGTGAACAAAGAGAGAAAAAAGCTGTTAACAGAGACCAGCTATTTGTTGTACATAAATGTTTTTTAACCCCATTTTATTTTCTCTATCAACTAGACTGTTATATTGGAACAAATTAACTAATTTGTAATCTGTAACCATTTTTGAAAAGTATATTATCTTGAAGGTGTGTGCTTGGCATTCTGTAACTAATGACCTCTTTAGCATCATCTTCATCATCAAGACATCATCAGTATAGTACTGAGTGTGTGTGAGTGATTACTGGTATCATTGTCAGATTTCCATACTTCCTCAGTGTAAAAATACATGTAAGACTGACATGTCCCCTGTGTTGTTTGTACAGAAATGGCAGAGACGCTGGTTTGTCCTGTTTGAGCATGGCGGGCTGGTCTTCTCACTGGATGAAAACGTGAGTAAAAAAGTAGTATAGCCTCCAAGCGTATGTATGGCACATTTTATAATGGATACAATGTATGGCAAGTTCATAAACATTACTAGATAACGAGTCATTTATCCATGCTATTTTATTGATAGTAGACAGGAACTACATGCCAAAGTAAGAGTATTACTGAATATAAACTGAATGCACAAGAGACATAATATGTACGCTACAGTTTTGTGTCTGATGTGAGAAAATCTTTTTTGTATAAGATGCTAAATATTATATATATATTGACCTAATCTATTGCATATAAAGAAATTTAGTCATGGCATAGTAGATTGAAAGTCTCTGTACTTCTTTTAGCTGTATAGCACTGGTTCTTTTGAGGCCACACCAATTGCATTTGCTCGGCCTGGTAGATACCCGAATTTGACTTGCAATTTGAAGAATAAAAAATTAGATTCTGGTAAAATTACCTTACCTTAGACCTTAGATCCTCCCGCAACCTTGTTGCATAGGTCGACTCCTTGTCTGACTCCTGGTAAAATTACAGGACAAAAATTCTGGCAACTTGTGATTTACCAGGAGACTGGTAAATAAAAACCTTTTTGCTCACACCGCAGTGATCACAAGTTACAGGTTTAACGCCTAACGTTTGTAATTTGAGCAGGTAACGTCGCGAAAAATTGGGCGTAATTGCTCAGAAATAACAGGAGTTTTTCTTCGGAGGCCATGCGGTGTCACTAATGACAGGGAGACACGCTCGCAAGCAGCGCGATGATAATGCGAGCACTGACCCAAACGTGTCGGGTCGTCGTGGGTGGGGGGATGTTCACACACCTGTTAGAGTGATGCGGTCCTGTGGGCGCATAATGAAAGCCCTACAGGTGTGGTAGAGGTGGTTCTGTGGTAAGGCCTTTCATTGACATGTAGCCGGCATCCTTATCAACACAATCACTTGTTTTGTGGATAGAACATTCTTTTCTTGTTGCTGTTGTTGATGTCCTTGTTTAACATCCATATTTTTTTGCTAGACATGTTCTCGAGGTGCTGTCTTTCCTAGGTGCATATCCTCATGGGCTCTGTGCCTGTGTGCTGTGAATATACTCCTTAGATTTTGCAAATCTTGTCATTGCTTTTATGCACTTCAGGAAAGCTTTGACAAATTTTTGACATTGACTAATTTCAAGCAGAACTAGTCAAGTCGACATTGTTGTAGTGCAGAAGTAACTCTTGTACCTCCTGTGTCTCTTCAAAAGGTTATAGACTGGAAGACTGATTCACAACAATAGATGTCATTGTTCTCCTGGTTTCAGCGATCTACCTTCAGATTATAATTAGACCGGACAGGTACAGGTAGTTGTTCCTGTAGAAGACAGTGGTAAATATTCATTAGGAGCTGACTAGGACAATGGTGTAGTCTGTGATTTATACAGGAGCCTCAGGGCAGGAGGGGAAACCTTGGAGATGTTGTGTTTGACAAATGTCTCATGTTTGTCAACCTTTGGATACTATGTATGGTCAGCTGAAAGTTACAGTTGTAATTACTGTCAAACTTGCCTCTATGAATCAACCATCTGGCCATAATGAGTGCTTTTTCTAGGTCCCGATTTTATTTCCCATAGATGTAAGCATTAAGGGACTTGCTCTAGCCGACCGCTTGTCTAATGCAGCTGCGACCAGCATGGATTGGGAGTGCAAATGCTCAGTACCTGCCCATGACAACGGCATGTGTGTGGTGACATTGATTGTTTGTGAACAATAGAAAAAAATCATAGGTAGGACGTGTGGATGCACCGTACCAATAACAGTTATCTTTTCTTTTAAAAAATACAACCGTTACAGTGTTACATGAAGGCTGAATTAACATAATTTGACACCCAGTTGTGATGTTGTGCCTGCACAGATTAGGCAAATCACCTTCTTACAGCCATACAAAGGACAGGATTAATGAATGTGCTAATCCCTCTACAACAGGATTAACATATACATGGCTATTGTTAATCCTGGATTGGACCACTTGATATGCTGGTGACAATGTGTGAGAACCATCAGGATCTTTTGTCTGGCTTCTTGTTGTCTACTTATCTGTTTATCTTGTCACCTTATGACGTTGTAAGGTTAGATTTGTCTCAGTTTGTTAAACTTTGTTTATTACTCCGTGAAGGAGGTCAGGACCTCCGGACGGAGTGTTGTAATCGGCTGATTTTTCATGTTCGCAGTCAAAACACTGGGTTCTCTTTGTGTAATCGGCATGCAATTTTATACGCCGTCTGCGGGCATGCCCGTGTTGATGCACGAATGTGTATTTTTGCCGTTGCTGCTTTCGCGGTCAATGTAATATCGCAGACGCACCCCTACAATTACGAGGCGAATTGGAATGGTCCAGAAAAACGCGTTGTTTGGAATAGCAGTGGGGATAAAAAAAGTTCATGCAGATACGGGGTGGTTTTTATAAGTGGTTCCAGATGTTTTTGCCCATGGTTAAGAGATGCCAAGTTTTTTGGAAGATGTTCGCAGTCAAAACGCATTCTTCCGTACGTCGCATTTCTGTGTAATTTCGCATGTGGTGTGGCATTATGTCCGGGATGATGCACGTCTTTTTATTTTTACCGTAGCTGTTTTGATATTGAAGTTATTTTTTTTTTAAATTTTATTCACATGGATTTTTGAGCATTGGATAGGAAGCACTTGTTGTGCTTATGTAAATCCGCTGCTCATAAAACATAATACAAATGTAAACATAAAGATGACATAAAGTATAGCATTAACATAAAATGAAAGTGGCTGGCGCACCAATACCTAGCATAACATTATTGAGATTGGTCAAATCTTCCAGAGTGGTGGATATAGTTAAACACAATATCAAAGATACGGAAGTTAGATAGTAGGGTATGGGAGGGAGGGGCTACCTGTAAGAAGTAAATTTA